GTGCGTCGAAGTCGAAGCCCATCTGAGGCGTCTCAGGAGCGCTCGGGGAAGGGCTCGGGAGGCCATCGGGGAAAGCCACCGAAAGCGCCGGGGAGGCTCGCAAGGATCTACAGGGAGGGCCCAAGAGAGCTTCAAGAAAATTTGAAATCCAGTGAACTCTTAAGAGAAACCGCTGTTGGGTCGGCCATCACCTCCGGGCGCGCCTTGATGGTGCGATCCAGTCGCATCACCGCCAACGGGAGGGTTTGTTCGCCATGTCCCATTCTGTTCGCCCAGAGGGTCTGTGGAGGCCTTCGGGAGAACAGAACGGGACAGGGCAAGGAATGGGGAAGACATGTCCGAATCTCCTGGGCCCCCAGATGCTCGTCCGAAGAATGCGGAGAGGTCCCAGGGTCATATCAGTTGGCTGCTGTCCAAGGGGTCCGGTCTGCTCGGCCCGAAGAGTTTGCCAAGGCCCCTGGGGGAACAGAATGGCACAGCATATCGGGCAAAGGGGGGCGGTAGCTGGCCTGTCAGACCCGGCGTTCGTCTTCTGCCCAAGCGGCGCGGGGCCCACGGGCCCCAGGGTTGGCGTCCCGCTGGGATTCCTCTTGTTCGCCCACAGGGTTGGAGGAGGCCTCCAGGCGAACAGAATGGGGCAGGACAATGAATGTGGGAGACTTGTCGCAAGCTCCCAGCCCCCCCAAGTGTGCGCCCGAAGGGTGTGGGGCCGCGTTGGCTCCCTCAAAGGGCCGTCTTGGAGCCGTCTAGGCCCGTCTTGAGGGCGCCGTTTGCCCTGATGGGGCCGTCTTGGTTCGTCGTGGGCCCCTCATGGGCGCGTCCGTAGGCCGTCCTGGGCCCATCGGGGTCCTCGTGGGGCTGTCTTGGAGCCGTCTGGGACCGTGAGGAGGCCGCCTTGGAGTCGTCTTGGGCCCCTCCTGTGCGCCTCCTTGGGCCGTCCTGGGCCCAGCAGGGGCCGTGTTGGTACCCTCTTGGGGCTATCTTGGAGCCGTGAGCCGTCGCAGCGCGCCTTGGGTTGTGCTGGGTCCGTCTTGGCCCGTCTTGGGGCCTTCCTGGGCGGTTCCTCGGACCCTCCTGGGACTTTCTGGGGCCTCTTGGTGCATCGGACCGCCGAAACGGCGGGAAACGCAAAGGGTGTAACAATAAACAATGGAAAATTAACGATTTTTGCCAGCTGGGACTCTCTTGCCATCTTGGCCCGTCTTGAGGCCCCGAACGGGCGCGTCCTTGGGCCGTCCTGGGCGCACCCTCCTGGGACCGTCTTGGAATCGTCTTGGGCCGTCTTGAGCGCGCCTTGGGCCGTCCTGGGCCGGTCTGGGGCCGTGTTGGCACCCTCGCGGCGAGGAAGCTCGGAGGCGGGCTCGAGGCCTCTTCGGGGCCATTTTGGAAGCTGTTGGGGCCTCTGTAGGGGCCTCGTTTGGGCTCCTTGGGAGCCTCCTGGGGCCTCTTCGGGGGATTCTTGGCGGCCCCTTGGGGCCTCTTGGGGGCCTGTTTGGGCCTCCTGGCGCCCTCTTGGGGCGGAAGGCTCGGATTTTCGGTCCGTGGTCCCCCTCTTGGCCCCCTCTTGGGCCTGTCTTCGGGCCCTCGTGGGCCGTCTTGAGCGTCTCTTGGGTCGTCTTGGGGCCCTCTTGGGCTGTCTTGGGGCGCTCTTGGAAACCTCTTGGGCCGTTCTGGGGCGCTCTTGGAGGCCTCTTGGGCCGTCTTCGAGCGTCGGAAAGCGGAAAAGGCGAGAAGGCCAAAATCCTTCCAAAACCGTCGTAAAGCGGACGATTTTGAGGCCCAAAACCGTCCAAAACCTCCTGAGGCGGTCCCCTCGTCCGCCCCCCTCGCTTCGAAGCAGTTTTTAAGCCCCGTGGCACCTCTTGGGGATCTCTTTTGGGCTCCTGGGGGCCTCTTGGGCCTCCACTGGATTCGCTGCCCTCGGTCGGCAATCGTCGATCCTACGACGACTCTCCCCAACGGAGAAACATCGAAGGCCCTCGGAGCGTCCAACATTGTTCTTTTGTGCCTTCGATATGCCGGTCGCCTCTCGTCCGCTCCCCCCCTCCTGGAAGCAATTCTGAGGCCACTTAGGGCTTCGTGGGGGCCGTTTGGGGATCTCTTGGGGCGTTTTTGCCTGCGATATGCCTGTCGCCTCTCGTCCGCTCCCCCGCTCCTGGAGGGAATTCTGAAGGCACTGAAGGCTTCGTGGGGGCCGTTTCGGAGCCTCTTCGGCCTTCTTTTGGGCCTCCCGGGGGGGCTCTTAGGGCCCTCTCGGGCCGTCTTGGGTGCCTCTTGGGCCGTCTTGGGGCCGTCTGAGACCCGCCTCGGCGCCTCTTGGGCTGTCTTGGGCCGTCTTGGGCCGCTCCTGGGGCCGTCTTGGGTGCCTATTGGGCCATCTTGGGCGCCTCCTGGGCCGTCCTGGGGCCGTCCTGGTGCGTCTTGGGACCGTCTGGGGGCCCTCCTGGCCCGTCTTGGGGCTCTCTTGGGGTCCTCTTCGGCCGTCTTGGAGCGGCCGGGGGGACTTCTTGGGCCGTCTTGGAGCGTCGGGAAGCCGAAGAGGCGAGGAGGCCGAAAACATAGAAAAACACATTAGAAACTGAGTTAATGAGATTTTGAATGGTAGTTTTCGGTTTGCACGTTGGGCGCTTGGGTGGGTGTGATATAGTGTTCGCCCGACGGGCCTCGGGAGAGCTCAGGGTGAACACCACGCCACGAGCTCGTATGCCGTCGCATATGGGCTCAAGCACGCATAGCGCGGGGTTACGTTCTACTGCACCTACTCTTTCGGGCTCGCGCGCCATGTCGACGGGCGCGCCTGAGGAGAGCAGCCGGTGGTGCTCCTGGGCTTGCCGCCTGCGGGCCGTCGCCACCCTCAGTGTCCTGAGCGCGGCGCTGCTGGCCATGGCCCGCTACGCCGACACCTGGCGCAACGTCCTGCTCTGGGCGTTGCTGGGCTTGACGAGTGGGGCTGCCGCCGCGGCCTGCCTCACGAGATTGAAGTGCCCCCGCCGCGAGACCCCTGCCACGGAGAGCGCAGAGGTGGTGCGGCTCCGCGAGGAGCTGGCATTGCTGAGGGCCACCATGGCGGCCGGTGGCGCAGCTCCAGTTGCTGCTGACGAAGCCGACCTCGCCGACGGAGGAGGGGTCGCGGGGGACGCGGACCAGTCCCCGCCCTTCGGCATCCCTGGTGCAGCGGCTGCTGGCGCTGCCCCGAGCCCCGGAGCTGGGGCGGCGGCGCCTACCTATGCGCCTGCCGGGGCCTCCGCTCTGGGCGACCTCGCGGGCTGGGCAGGTCTGCCCCTGCCCTCGGCCCCCGCGGCCCCCCCTCCTGGCCTGCACCATCCAGGAGCAGCGGGCGCGCAGCCGGTACGAGGAGCGGCAAGCGCGAAGACGGCCCTCATGACGTTCGGGGGCACCAGCTCGGTCGATCCCTACTGGGCCTCCAAGTTCTGGAGCCACGTCGCCAAGATGGAGCTGCAGGGCGAAGTGAGCGAGCCGGTGGTCAGGCTCCTGAGGGGCCACGGCTACGTGGGCAACGGGACGGTGACCGCGCCCAGGGTCGCCGAGCTCGCGCGCGGCCTGGACGCCCTTGACCAAGCCGCGCCACCGGCGCTGGGAGGCACAGCAGGCGACCCTTTGGCTTTGGGGAGCCTCACGTCGGCGGCTGGCGGTAGCCAGGAGACCAGGTGGGGAGCCTCGCTCCCCCCGGACCTGCAGCGGGCCGGGGCGGAGATCTACCGATCGACGAGGGCGGAAGGCTGCACTTCTGTCAGGGACTGGCTCTCTTCCCGGTATAGCGGAAGCAGGTCCTCGCCAGTCTGGACCGATTTGTGGACGATGGCGACCACAGTGGACTTTGCAATGAAGGACTGCGGCGCGGAGGAGGCGTTGATGAGGTTCCTGGGGACGAACGACCTGATGGAGATCTCTCTCAGGCGCCTGGCGGCCTATATGTACGAGAGCCGCTCAGGGGACCGCACTGGCGCGCTCCACATGCTCGGGGTTTCCCCTCCGGGCAGCCAGACCGACGCGGCGCCGAGCTGGCTGGTGCAGGCCGCGACGGCGCACAGCAAGGCCGAGCACCAGCGCTCCGAGAGGGTGGCCGCCCAGGCCAAGCGCCAGGGCAAGGGCGACAAGGAGAAGCCCCCGAAGGCCCCGCCGAAGGGCCCGCCCCCCGCGGGAAGGGGCAGGCCCGCCGAGTGACAGGCGGCGGGCACCTCGGCTGGTGATGCAGCTGCCAGTCGAGGTGAGGAGCGCAGCCGCTGGGTCCCAAAGGCGATGCTGGAGGAGCCCCACGAGCTGCGAAGGCTGCTGGATGGCGCCTCAGGCGCCAAGCTGTACCCGATCCCGATGGTGGAGAAGCCGGGCCGCTCGGAGAGCATGTCCAGCCGCATCCGCCAGCGCTATTGCAAGAAGATGGCCTTGCGTGCTTTGGCTAATGAGTATATCCTTGCTCTAAACGCCATGTACCAGGGCACCGCCAGGAGCTCACCAGAGGCCGTCGTGAAGAGGAACGTCGGACGAAGTTACGGCCTCTACACCAGCGAGTCCATCGACTGGCTCTACGCGAGGCGGCGAGGATTCGCCAGGCGCGCCGGGGCGATTGCCCGACAGGCGCCCGTGCCGTACTAGAGTTGGTGAAGGAGTCGACGATTACCTACCAAGGAGTCCGCCGCAAGGCGGGACATGAAGCATTACGAGCTGATGCAGTTGATGAGCCCTGTGATCCTCGTCGAGTGCCTATGCTGTCCGCCCTGAGTGCTGAGGAGGCTGCTTTTTATGCTGAGGAAGAAAATGCGGTTGCAGCCCCGGATAGCCGGAGCCAAGTTTTGTTTCGAGAACTCGAGAGGCAGTACGGGTTTGTGGGAGGATCCGAAGTGGAGTATGCTCGTTATTTTCTTCGAAAGGATATGGCCCCAAATTTGTGGAGATTTGGAACTAGAGACGAAGTCAAAGCAGTGGCCGGTTTTTCGGTTGTGCCCAAGAAAGACGCCCCCAAACAAAGGAAAATCATTATGATGGTGGCTGCTAACTACATGTACTTGGACGTTCGTTCTCGTGAGGAGCACGGGCTCCACGGAGGTGCAGCACTCGCCAATGTGCATTTGCCAAGTGACGCGTTGTGTGCCGCCGCTTGTGACCAGAGCAATGCGTTCACTTCGGTAGAGGTTCCAGAGTGGATGTGGGCCTGGCAGGCGGTGCCCCCACTTCGTGCCGGTCTAGTCTGGGATGCTCTCCCCTGGGAACTTCGAGACAGAGTCTGTCCGGGAACCTGGATCTACCCCATGTGGAAGCGGCTCGTCATGGGCGGCTCCCACAGCGTGCACATTCTCATGAATATTAATATGACTTGCGGGGGGCGGACTCTGATCCGAAGTTGTGGGCTTCGGCGGGGCGTCTCGGAGGAGGATTTCGACGTTGACGAAGGGGGGAAGTTCTCGGGCAGGAGCGACGAGGTTTGGGCCGCCGACCAAGACTTCAGGAAGTCCAGGGACTTGAATGACCAGGTCACGAACCCGGGCACGGGCTACACGGGCGAGTCTTGGGTTCGGAAGGTCACAGAGGTCAAGTCGTCGGGTGTTAAGGTCTTCGTCGTCATGCATCTGTTCGCGGGTCCCCGTAGGCCTGGGGACGTGGAAGAGTGGCTGGGAGTTCTTGCGGCCCAGCGCGGGCTGGAACTGCTGGTGCTGTCCTGCGACCTCGCCCAGGATCCTCTTTGGGACCTCACGCTGCCGGAGACCTTCCAGAAGCTTTGGGGCCTGGTCGTTTTGGGGCACATCGACGCGATCCTGGGAGGGCCGCCCTGCTCCACCTGGTCCAGGGCCCGGTTCGTCAAGTTGCTGGGGGGCCCGAGGCCCCTCAGGTTCCGAGGCAAGTACGGTTGTGGTCGGCCCGAGGCCGAGCTGACGGGCCCCGAGAGGGCTCGAGTCCAGGAGTCCAACGTCCTGTCCCTCAACTTCCTGGCGCTCTGCGAAGGGGTCTCGTCGAGGGGAGGAGTCCATATACATGAACACCCAGAGGATCCTGGAGAGGAGCCGTATCCTTCGATTTATAGTACAGAGCTGACGTGCGCCATGGAGGAGCGCACCTCGGCTGTGCGTGTCAGTCTTGACCAGTGCATGTACGGCGGGCCAGCGAGAAAGGCTACCACGCTGTCCGGCACCGCCGACGGACTGCTGGAGGGTGAGTGTCGTTGCGATGGAAATCACCAGCATCAGAGGAGCACTGGACGCATGAGGGTGGAGAACGGGAGACAAGGTTTCTACGCCACCGCCTTGGCTGCCTACCCCTCCGGCCTCAGTGAGTTTCTGGCGTCGTGTGTCGCGCGGAGTTTCGTGCGTATGCTACGAGAGGAGCGTGAGAAAGGTACCGTTGTTCCTCAGCGTCCCTTGGCCGCCCGTCTGTCTCAGTGGCCCAGGCCCAGCAGTCAGGAGGGGGAGAGGGGCTTTCACGTACTCAACGAGAAGAGCGCTAGGATGCAGAACACCACCTTGATTAAGGGCGACCTAGGGTTTTACCTTCACATAGACGATGGTTTGATGATGTCCGACGGGGCCGACTTTGTGGGCTCCGAGCGGGCCGCCGACTTCTTCATGCATCGGGCCGCCGATGAGCTAGTCAACATAGGTTTCAAGGTCACGGACCGCAGGGAGTCTTGGGAGCTGGACAAAATTGTTGGCTACGAGGTTCAGAGTTCCCCCGCTCGGCTTCGTCTACCTACCCGTAAGGCTGCCGTACTCTATGAGGCCATGCTCTTCCTGGAGAGCCGTGCTTGGGTGTCCCTGGAGGCCGCCTCGTCACTCTTGGGACTTTGGGTGTGGGCTGCCCTACTGGCTCGTCACTGGTTGTCTGCCCCCCAACGCATCTTCCGCTTCGCTCACCAGGACGAGGGGCTCCCGGGGCGTCTCAGGTTTCGGAAGTGGTGGCCGAGTGCCTTGAGGGAGTGGAGAACCATGCGAAGGGGACTCATGGGGCGTATACGTGGACCTCGGGGCCCCCATCTCCAGGATCGTGCTGGCCACGGATGCCGAGGGCTCGAACGGCCTGGACTGTGGGGGCTTGGGCATGGTTGCTACCGCTCTCCCCGACCGGGGCGTTCAGAGGCTCTGGGAGGCCGGGGCCAAGCCGGGTTTCGCCCTCACGCGCATGGGCCACGAGAGGAAAGTTCTACAGAAGGGTTCCGGAGCTCTCGTACCCACCCTGCCCGTCTCCGCGATCCCGAAGGATTTCTGGGAGCTGTCCAGGTGCTGGGTCCCGGTCGCCGCGGGGAGGTGGAAGTGGGAGGAGCATATCACGGTCAGCGAGATGAGGTCAGTGATCTTGATGCTTGAGAGGGTCGTCGTGGTCGAAGGTTTCTTCCGCTGTAAGCTGATCTCTTTTGAGGACAACATGCCCGTTGCGTTTGCAATAGCCAAGGGGAGATCATCGGCGGGCCCCCTCGACTTCCCCCTGCGCAGGCGATGCGCGTTGTGCGCGGCGGCCGAGATTAGGCTGCTCCTCCCCTGGGTCGAGACCTGGCGGATGCCGGCGGACTGGGTCTCCAGGTGTAAGACATGGCAGGAGGTACTCGAGGGAGCGCATCAGGAGCTGCAGGACCAGGCCAGGACGGACCGCACCATCCAGAACTGATAGATGAACATGAGGAGGGGCGGGTCACGGCCGATACAGTTTTGAAGTACAAGGAGGCGGTAGTTCCCTTTTTGATGTGGTGTTCGCGGGGGGAAGGGAGCCATTCACCCCCGATCAGTGGGATGACGCACTGATGGATTTCAAGATGTTCGGGGGCTCCGAGGTGGTCGGCAAGGGGGTTTTGACTAAGTCTAAGTTCTCCATGCTGGTGGCCGCTGTGGAGTTCCGTTTTCCGCGTATGAAGGGGCGGTTGTGTCGAGTGAGAGCGGCCCTGAAGGGCTGGGACTACGCCCACCAGCCTCGGCACACGGTCCCGATGGTTAGCAACGTATGTGCCTGGATGCGCGTCCATTTTTGTGCCAGAGGTTATCCACGTCTGGGTTTCGGTATCGTGCTTCAGGGCAAGTTCGGGATGAGGCCTAGCGAGATGTTGGGGATTGAGCCTGATGACATCACCCTCCCGGAGGCCTGGGGCTATCCTAGGGGCTGCGGGCCTGTCGTGGTTAGTCTTGGGTTCGGGCCATGACCAAGGCCAAGAGGCCCCAGTCCGCGTCCTTCCTGGAGGAGAACGAGGGGCACCTCGCGGAGGGCCTCCGGCTGCTACGGCGCACTACCCCTGCAGGTGCTCGGCTGTTCCCGGTCTCGCTTCCGTCCTACCGAAACCTGATCAAGGCCGTCCAGGCTCAGTACTCCCTGGACGTCGGCTGGGGCCCCTACAGCCCCCGGGCTGGCTTCGCGTCGGAGTCGGCCGCTCTCGGGGTTCCCTTCGAGGCCATCCGGGAGACAGGGAGGTGGAGGGTCGACTCGTCGCTGCGCATCTACATCGATGTGGTTCAAGCCTCTCAGGTCGGCACGGCCCTGCGGGCGGCAGGACTTCAGCCCGCCCTAGACTGGGCCACGCGCCGGTGGTTCGACCAGGTCCGCACAGGCCTTGATGCTGCCAGCACCGGGCACGCCCAGACCAGCAGGACGCGGCGGCCGCGGGCGGCCCCGCGGGGCAGCGGGGACGCCGCCCACGCCGGGCTCGGCGGCCAGCTGGGGCTTTGTCCCCAGCTTGCCGGGCACGCCAGCTACGCCAGCGCCGGGCACGCCCATGACCAGCAGGGTGGACACGCCTCCGCCGCTGGGCCCGTTCGAGATCCCGCCGGCACCGCCCTGGACGAGCCCAGCGCCTCCACCGCGGGTCAAGGCCCCGCCGGGGGCCCGGGCTGCCGCATCGCCTAACCAGAAGAAGGGCCTCATCATGGGCATGATGAAGCGGCTGCCGACGGGCTCGGCCTTTTTCAGGGTGTTGCTGGCGATCCTCTTCTTCAGCGCCTTCCCCGCGTGCTTGTTCCCGAACACTTCGCGCAGCCTGATCGTCTTGACGGATGTGGCTGAGGAGGTGGGCACCGCGGGCGGGCGCATCATCGCGGCGGCTGCCAGCGTCAGCACCAGTGCAGCTAAATTTGTTACGGCAGTAACAGACGGTTCCATCGGCGTGGTCGAAGCTGCGTGGAGGGGAGTCGACCTTTTGGACGTGGAGGCCCACGGGAGTTCCGGGCGTCTTTTCGTCGAGGTCGAGGACAGCTGGGAAGAATTTCTCGCCGAGCCGGAGGTTCAGCACGTCCTGAGGCTGGAGCCGGACACGACGTCTGAGCTCGAGCGCCTCCTCCTTCTGTCCTCCGCACGCCGCCCCATAGGCGAATTCACCCACGCAGTTTTTCGTTCGCCTCAGCTTTACTCTCTTGTGAGCTTCTGGGTCCGCTGGTTTCCATGCGGACACGTCGGGATCGCCTGGGGGGTGGTCTCGGTCTATTTCCGGCCCCAGTGGGCGAATCCGTCTTGGGCCCTCCTCGGAATCAACGAGACCGCCGAGGCTCCCAGCATGGCCGAGCGACTGCAGTCGCTCGCCGTCGATAGCTTCCCTGCGCCTGACCTCGAGCCAGGACCGGATGCTCTGGTCGGCGCCCCGACCCTCCCCAATGGGCTTCCTCGCAGGCTGCTCCGCCGCGCCGCGCGCGGGCTCTTGTGGCTCCGGCGCAGCCTGCAGACAGCCTTCCAGTGGGCCGGCAAGGTCTTTCCAGCACAGGGCCGCAGTGCGGGAGCGGGCGACGGCAACCGGTACGCAAATATCTCTGCCCTGACCAACTTTGGACCGCTCGCGGAGGCGGGTGGTGGTGAGCGTGCATGAGCCAGATCAGTTGCAGAGCCTTTGCCAAAATCCAGTTTGCAAGCAGTTGAGTATCTCTTTTGAAGGCACAGAGACGCACATCGTGAAGAGTGTTGCGAAACACTTGAGCCTGGCTGAAAAAACACAAAGCGCATCATCGTCAGGGTTGGGCCCAACTTTAGTGCAGAAATGAGTTAATGAGATTTTGAATGGTAGTTTTCGGTTTGCACGTTGGGCGTTTGGGTGGGTGTGATATAGTATTCGCCCGACGGGCCTCGGGAAAGCTCAGGGTGAACACCACGCCACGAGCTCGTATGCCGTCGCATATGGGCTCAAGCACGCACCCTCCCTTTCTGTGCAGCCGGAGGCCTGACTTTTATATCTCTTCACTGGTGGTGGTGAGCGTGCATGAGCCAGATCAGTTGCAGAGCCTTTGCCAAAATCCAGATTGCAAGCAGTTGAGTATCTCTTTTGAAGGCACAGAGACACACATCGTGAAGAGTGTTGCGAAACACTTGAGCCTGGCTGAAAAAGCACAAAGCGCATCATCGTCAGGGTTGGGCCCAACTTTAGTGCAGAAGCGATGATTTCTGTCGCTCGGGGCCCTCTTGGGAGGCCTCTTGGGAGGCCTCTTCGGGCGTCTTGGACGCCTCTTGGGCCGCCTGGGGCGAATCTTGGGCGTCTTGGGCCCATCTTTAAGCGTGCCGGGGCTCTCCGGGGCCGTCTTGGGGGCTTCTGGGGGCCCTCCCGACATGTCCTGGAGCCTGCCTGGGCGGCCCGGGGCGGCCCGGGGCCAGCCCGGGGCGGTTTTGAGACATTGGAGCCTGCGCCCTTCTGACACGCACTGGGCCCTGCAATGTAGTAGAGACTAGGGCTGACCCGTGGACTCCGTCCACGACATCTTTCTGGAATGGTTCTCGGAGGAACGGCGCAGATTGCACCGAAAATCTACAAACACGGCGGCGGCTCGGGCGGCGGCAGCGAGACCGCGCCTTCGTGTCCGAGCTCTTGCAGCGCTGCAGCAGCTTGGCCCAGCGCACTGCTCGTTCACCCCCCTCCTATTGAGGACAGTTTCGAAGTCTCTCGGGGATGTGCGTCGAAGTCGAAGCCCATCTGAGGCGTCTCAGGAGCGCTCGGGGAAGGGCTCGGGAGGCCATCGGGGAAAGCCACCGAAAGCGCCGGGGAGGCTCGCAAGGATCTACAGGGAGGGCCCAAGAGAGCTTCAAGAAAATTTGAAATCCAGTGAACTCTTAAGAGAAACCGCTGTTGGGTCGGCCATCACCTCCGGGCGCGCCTTGATGGTGCGATCCAGTCGCATCACCGCCAACGGAAGGGTTTGTTCGCCATGTCCCTTTCTGCTCGCCCAGAGGGTCTGTGGAGGCCTTCGGGCGAACAAAACGGGACAGGGCAAGGAATGGGGAAGACGTGTCCGAATCTCCTGGGCCCCCCAGATGCTCGTCCGAAGAATGCGGAGAGGTCCCAGGGTCATATCAATTAGCTGCTGTCCCAGGGGTCCGGTCTGCTTGGCCCGAAGAGTTTGCCAAGGCCCCTGGGGGAACAGAATGGCACAGCATATCGGGCAAAGGGGGGCGGTAGCTGGCCTGTCAGACCCGGCGTTCGTCTTCTGCCCAAGCGGCGCGGGGCCCACGGGCCCCAGGGTTGGCGTCCCGCTGGGATTCCTCTTGTTCGCCCACAGGGTTGGAGGAGGCCTCCAGGCGAACAGAATGGGGCAGGACAATGAATGTGGGAGACTTGTCGCAAGCTCCCAGCCCCCCCAAGTGTGCGCCCGAAGGGTGTGGGGCCGCGTTGGCTCCCTCAAAGGGCCGTCTTGGAGCCGTCTAGGCCCGTCTTGAGGGCGCCGTTTGCCCTGATGGGGCCGTCTTGGTTCGTCGTGGGCCCCTCATGGGCGCGTCCGTAGGCCGTCCTGGGCCCATCGGGGTCCTCGTGGGGCTGTCTTGGAGCCGTCTGGGACCGTGAGGAGGCCGCCTTGGAGTCGTCTTGGGCCCCTCCTGTGCGCCTCCTTGGGCCGTCCTGGGCCCAGCAGGGGCCGTGTTGGCACCCTCTTGGGGCTGTCTTGGAGCCGTCTTGAGCCGTCGCAGCGCGCCTTGGGTTGTGCTGGGTCCGTCTTGGCCCGTCTTGGGGCCTTCCTGGGCGGTTCCTCGGACCCTCCTGGGACTTTCTGGGGCCTCTTGGTGCATCGGACCGCCGAAACGGCGGGAAACGCAAAGGGTGTAACAGTAAACAATGGAAAATTAACGATTTTTGCCAGCTGGGACTCTCTTGCCATCTTGGCCCGTCTTGAGACCCCGAACGGGCGCGTCCTTGGGCCGTCCTGGGCGCACCCTCCTGGGACCGTCTTGGAATCGTCTTGGGCCGTCTTGAGCGCGCCTTGGGCCGTCCTGGGCCGGTCTGGGGCCGTGTTGGCACCCTCGCGGCGAGGAAGCTCGGAGGCGGGCTCGAGGCCTCTTCGGGGCCATTTTGGAAGCTGTTGGGGCCTCTGTAGGGGCCTCGTTTGGGCTCCTTGGGAGCCTCCTGGGGCCTCTTGGGGGGATTCTTGGCGGCCTCTTGGGGCCTCTTGGGGGCCTCCTGGCGCCCTCTTGGGGCGGAAGGCTCGGATTTTCGGTCCGTGGTCCCCCTCTTGGCCCCCTCTTGGGCCTGTCTTCGGGCCCTCGTGGGCCGTCTTGAGCGTCACTTGGGTCGTCTTGGGGCCCTCTTGGGCTGTCTTGGGGCGTTCTTGGAAACCTCTTGGGCCGTTCTGGGGCGCTCTTGGAGGCCTCTTGGGCCGTCTTCGAGCGTCGGAAAGCGGGAAAGGCGAGAAGGCCAAAATCCTTCCAAAACCGTCGTAAAGCTGACGATTTTGAGGCCCAAAACCGTCCAAAACCTCCTGAGGCGGTCCCCTCGTCCGCCCCCCTCGCTTCGAAGCAGTTTTTAAGCCCCGTGGCACCTCTTGGGGATCTCTTTTGGGCTCCTGGGGGCCTCTTGGGCCTCCACTGGATTCGCTGCCCTCGGTCGGCAATCGTCCTCCTACGACTCGACCCTCCCCAACAAACATCGAAGGCCCTCGGAGCGTCCAACATTGTTCTTTTGTGCCTTCGATATGCCGGTCGCCTCTCGTCCGCTCCCCCCCTCCTGGAAGCAATTCTGAGGCCACTTAGGGCTTCGTGGGGGCCGTTTGGGGATCTCTTGGGGCGTTTTTGCCTGCGATATGCCTGTCGCCTCTCGTCTGCTCCCCCGCTCCTGGAGGGAATTCTGAAGGCACTGAAGGCTTCGTGGGGGCCGTTTCGGAGCCTCTTCGGCCTTCTTTTGGGCCTCCCGGGGGAGCTCTTAGGGCCCTCTCGGGCCGTCTTGGGTGCCTCTGCCGTCTTGGGCGCCTCCTGGGCCGTCCTGGGGCCGTCCTGGGGCGTCTTGGGACCGTCTGGGGGCCCTCCTGGCCCGTCTTGGGGCTCTCTTGGGGTCCTCTTCGGCCGTCTTGGAGCGGTCGGGGGGACTTCTTGGGCCGTCTTGGAGCGTCGGGAAGCCGAAGAGGCGAGGAGGCCGAAAACATAGAAAAACACAGTAGAAATCGACGATTTCTGTCGCTCGGGGCCCTCTTGGGAGGCCTCTTGGGAGGCCTCTTCGGGCGTCTTGGACGCCTCTTGGGCCGCCTGGGGCGAATCTCGGGCGTCTTGGGCCCATCTTTAAGCGTGCCGGGGCTCTCCGGGGCCGTCTTGGGGGCTTCTGGGGGCCTGCTAGGAAGCCTCCTGGGCAGCCTCTTGGGGCATTTTGGCCGCCTCTGGGGCCGTCTTGGCCCAATCTTCGGCGTCTTGGGCCCATCTTGGGGCGTCCCGGAGCCCTTTGGGGCCGTCTTGGGGGCCTCTTGGGGCTCTCTTGGCGCGTCTTGGACCCATCTTGGGGCGTCCCGGGGCCCTCTGGGGCCGTCTTGGGGAGCCGTCTTGGGCTGTCTCGGGGCGTCTTGGGACCGTCTGGGGGCCCTCTTGGCCCGTCTTGAGGCCCTCTTGCGGGCCTCGTCGGTGGTCTTGGAGCGGTCTTTGGGACCTCTTGGGCCGTCTTGGTTGGAGCGCAGGGACGGCGAAAAGGGGAGAATGCGAAAATCATAGAAAAACATAATGGAAATCGACGATTTTTCCCGCTCGGGGCCCTGCTGGGAAGCCTCTTGGGAAGCCACTTGGGGCATTTTGGCCGCCTCTGGGGCCGTCTTGGCCCATTCTTCGGCGTCTCGGGCCCATCTTGGGGCGTCCCGGAGCCTTCTGGGGCCGGCTTGGGGTCCCGGGGCCCTCTGGGGCCGTCTTGGGGGCCTCCGGGGGCCCTCTTGGCGTGTCTTGGGCCTGCTACGCCATTTGACCAGAATCGCCGTTCTCGCACGCGCGGGGCCCTGCATTGTAGTATAGACTAGGGTGTACCCGTGGCCTACGTCCACCTGCGAAGTGATGAGGCGCTGCCGTCAGGCGATCATGATGGATGGCGTCAGGTTCGCCTTCCACATGTCGCCGAGCACCTTGAGCGCCGCCTGATCGGGCTCGATCGGGCCATGTGCAAAACGCATTGGGAACGGAGGCGCGATGGAGCAGCTGGGGGAGAAGAACATGAATGTCTTCCCATCCACCTCATTATCCTTCTGTTGCTCCTGTTCCTCCTCCTCCTCCTCCGTTTCCGTCTCCTCCTCCTCCTCCTCCTCCTCCTCCTCCTCCTCCTCTATTCTCCTCCTCTCCTCGTCCTCCTCCTCCTCCTCCTCCTCCTCCTCCTCCTCCTCCTCCTCCTCCTCCTCCTCCTCCTCCTGACTCCCTCATCCTTCTCACTGCCCTCCTGATCATCCTCGCCCCTCTCATCCTGTCCCTCATCTTCCTCTTCTTTCTCCTCTCCTTCGGGTTCTCCCGCCTGTCCCTATGCAGCGCTGGAACGCAGCGCGACAACACCCTTCGGCAAGGCGTCAAAAAAATGCGGCTGCGTCGAAGGCGTCGGCAGGGCCCAGTCTCGCGGGGTCTTCCTCGGCCTCTCTCGGGGCTCTCTTCGAAGTTCCTGAG